GTTGTGAGTGAACTATCATCATGTCAGGTTAACCCCTTGAAACTCCATCAGTAGTTGCTAAAAGTCTGTCATCTTGGGGGCAAGTTTGCTCTAGATCGGCGTTTCTCAACCTGGGGGATGCGCGGGGATTTCCGAAGACGCTTCGTAGATGGACTCAGAATACCTTTTCTGTAATGGCGCACCGGGAACCATTCGATTTGTGGCAAAGATGGGAAGCTTATGATGAGAATGATAGCGAAGGATTGTCGCGCGCTTGCGTGTCCTCAAAGGGGGCACCGAGGAATTTAAACCCAGATTTCTCAAAGGAGGGAGAGAGGTGGTTGTTACCTGCTCTGTGATGCGAGATTTGGTTTTCTGCTTGTTTGAGTCGGCACATAGATAGGATGGGCTGTTTATTACCTGGTGTAGTAACTCATGATGTCACCTCCATGCACCTCTTCCTGTACCTGGGCAAACCACAACATTATAGCTAAGATATTGGAAAATGGGATGGAATCAGTGACTTCCAAAAATATAGCAGCAGTGTATACTTTTAGTGTGTGCAGAGAAACCTACATGTTTCACAGCATCATTATATCTGGGTCACACTGACAGGTCTGACTGCAGTACATTAAAAGTTCAAAAAGTCAATTAGCTTTGTAGGTACTGTATATACTCGAATATATACCTAGTTTTTCAGCCCTAAAGCAGCATTTCTCTGGGGGGGTCGTGAGAGGGTGTCAGAGGGGTCGCCAAAGACCATCAGAAAACACAGTATATGACCAACAGGTCATGGGGGTTCTGTGTGGGAAGTTTGGCCCAATTCTATTGTCAGTGGGGTTCAGAATGATCTTTGATTGTAGGTGAACTATAAATCCCAGAAACCACAACTCCTTAATGTCAATGTCTATCTTCCCCAAACTCCACCGGTGTTCACATTTGGGAATATTGAGCATTTGTGCCAAGTTTGATCCAGATCCATCATTGTTTGAGTCCACAGTGCTCAAGGATATAGGTGAACTACAACTCCAAAACTCAAAGCCTACCAAACCCTTTCAGTATCTTCTCTTGGTTACGGGAGTTCTGTGTGCCAAGTCCGGTTCAATTACATCGTTGGTGGAGTCCAGAATGTGTTCATATTTGGGCATATGGAATATTTGTGCTAAGTTTGGTCCAGATCCATCATTGTTTGAGTCCACACTGCTCTCTGGAAGTAGGTGAACTACAACTTCCACACTCAAGGTCAGTGCCCACCAAAACCAACCTGGGGGTCGGGACCCCTGGGGGGGGTCACAAGGGGGTGTCAGAGGGGTCACCAAAGACCATCACATAACACAGTATTTTCTGTTGGTCATGGGGGTCCTATGTGGGAAGTTTGGCCCAATTCTACCGTTGGTGGGGTTCAGAATGCTCTTTGATTTTAGGTGAACTATAAATCCCAGAAACTACAACTCCCAAATGTCATGGTCTATTTCCCCTAAACTCTACTAGTGTTCACATTTGGGCATATTGAATATCCGTGCCAAGTTTGGTCCAGATCCATCATTGATTGAGTCCACAGTGCTCTCTGGATGTAGGTGAACTACAACTCCCACACTCAAGGTCAATGCCCACCAAACCCATCTAGTGTTTTCCGTTGGTCAAGGGAGTTCTGTGTGTCAAGTTTGGTTCAATTCCATCATTGGTGGAGTTCAGAATGCTCTTTGATTGTAGGTGAACTACAAATCCCAGCAACTACAACTTCCAAACGACAAAATCAAATTTTTGAGTGATGGTCATTCCTTGGGTTGGTCTTGTGGCCAATTTGGTAGCAATTCATCCAGCGGTTTTTGAGTTATGTTAATCCCACAAAAGAAACATTACATTTTTATGTAAATATGTAAATATTTGGGGGGAGGGTTATTTAGAGAAATAGAGGATATAATGAACATTAAAATAGAAAGAAGTATAGCTTTATTATCATTATATAGTAATAAACAATTGAAAAAAGAGGATAAAGATGCGATAACAAACTTAATAGCAAGACTGGGTTGTTGTAGGATTTTTTCAGGCTATAAGGCCATGTTCTAGAGGCATTCTCTCCTGACGTTTCACCTGCATCTATGGCAAGCATCCTCAGAGGTAGTGAGGTCCTCACTACCTCTGAGGATGCTTGCCATAGATGTAGACGAAACGTCAGGAGAGAATGCCTCTAGAACATGGCCATATAGCCTGAAAAAAACCTACAACCCAGTGATTCCAGCCATGAAAGCCTTCGACAATACAATAGCAAGACTGCTTATAGCAAGGAATCGGAAAAGAGAAATAAATATACAAATAGAGGAGTGGTATAAGGAAGTATGGAAATTGGCAATAAATGATAAGCTGACGCGTATATTAAAAGATAAAAGAGGTATATAGAAGCAAAGTGATTATGATTTTATTTATTTAGCGTGTCAGGAGCAAACCAAACAGTTGTATTGCATTTTTAAACAAACAAACAAACCACAAAGTTTGCAAGCTTGGTTTGCAAGCTGGCCACTTGGAGTGCCTCTGGTGTTGCTGCAAGAAGGTCCTCCATTGTGCATGTGGCAGGGCTCAGGTTGCATTGCAGTAGGTGGTCTACAGAGACACTCACTGGTGAAACATCAGGAGAGAATGCCTCTAGAACATGGCTCTCAGCAAGCGAGAGCCCAAAAGTGGCAGGCTCAAATCCAGACCCTCAATCAATGGCTGATACCAAATGAGAGACTTCCACCTGGGCACACAGAAATGATGGATCTGGGCGACTTGGAAGGTGCTGAACAGACTGCGCTCCAGCACTCGCATGTCGTGGATTCCACTTTGTGGCCCCATTTCTTCAGGTTGGCTCTGCATCTCGAGGTGCTGGAGCGCAGTCTGTTCAGCACCTTCCAAGTCGCCCAGATCCATCATTTCTGTGTGCCCAGGTGGAAGTCTCTCATTTGGTATCAGCCATTGATTGAGGGTCTGGGTTTGAGCCTGCCACTTTTGGGCTCTCGCTTGCTGAGAGCCATGTTCTAGAGGCATTCTCTCCTGATTTTTCACCAGTGAGTGTCTCTGTAGATCTTAGAAAACTATTTCTTGATTTAAGTCGTTGACGTGCTGGCTGATACTCAAACGGGATGAGCTGGTGGTCCTTTCCCTATTGGCTGCTACTTCCTGGCGGATGTCAGGTGGTGCAATACCGGCTAAGCAGTGTAATTTCTCCAGTGGTGTAGGGCGCAGACACCCCGTGATAATGCGGCATGTTTCATTAAGAGCCACATCTACTGTTTTAGTGTGGTGAGATGTGTTCCACACTGGGCATGCATACTCAGCAGCAGAGTAGTATAGCGCAAGGGCAAATGTCTTCACTGTGTCTGGTTGTGATTCCCAGGTTGTGCCAGTCAGCTTTCGTATGATATTGTTTCTAGTGCCCACTTTTTGCTTGATGTTCAGGCAGTGCTTCTTGTAGGTCAGAGCACGGTCCAGAGTGACTCCCAGGTATTTGGGTGCGCTGCAATGCTCCAGTGGGATTCCTTCCCAGGTGATCCTCAGAGCTCGGGATGCTTGTCTGTTCTTAAGGTGAAAAGCACATGTCTGTGTTTTAGATGGATTAGGGATCAGTTGGTTTTCCCTGTAATAGGCAGTAAGAGCACCTAGAGCTTCGGAGAGCTTCTGTTCAACCATCTCAAAGCTCCCTGCTTGAGTGGTGATGGTACGATCATCAGCATAGATGAAACTCTCTGTCCCTTCTGGCAGTGGCTGGTCATTTGTGTAGATGTTGAACATGGATGGAGCAAGCACGCTCCCCTGAGGCAGGCCGTTCTTCTGTTTCCGCCATCTGCTTCTCTGGCCCTGGAACTCAACAAAGAAGCTCCTGTTTTGTAGCAGGTTTCCTATGAGGCGGGTGAGGTGGTCGTCCTTTGTGATATTATACATTTTTCTCAGGAGGAGGTGTGGTTGACAGTATCATAAGCCGCTGACAGGTCTATGAAGACAGCTCCTGTGATCTGCTGCCTTTCAAAACCATCTTCTATGTGCCGAGTCAGGTTCAGCTCTTGCGATGTGCAGCTTTTGCCTTTCCTGAAGCCAGCTTGCTGTGGAATCAGACATGGGTCTATTTTTTCCATAATTCTATGCAAAATAAGTCTCTTCAGAACTTTGTAAAGGTGGCACAAAAGGGTGATTACTCTGTAGCTTTTTGAAATATTGTGTCCAATTCTGGGCACCACAATTCAAGAGAGATATTGACAAGCTGGAAAGTGTCCAGAGGAGGGAGACTCAAATGATCAAGGGTCTGGAGAACAAGCCCTATGAGGAGCGGCTTAAGGAGCTGGGCATGTTTAGCCTGAAGAAGAGAAGGCTGAGAGGGGATATGATAGCCATGTATAAATATGTGAGAGGAAGCCACAGGGAGGAGGAGGGAGCAAGCTTGTTTTCTGCTGCCCTGGAGACTAGGACGCAATGGAACAATGGCTTCAAACTACAAGAAAGGAGATTCCATCTGAACATGAGGAAGAACTTCCTGACTGTGAGAGCCGTTCAGCAGTGGAACTCTCTGCCCCGGAGTGTGGTGGAGGCTCCTTCTTTGGAAGCTTTTAAACAGAGGCTGGATGGCCATCTGTCAGGGGTGATTTGAATGCAATATTCCTGCTTCTTGGCAGAATGGGGTTGGACTGGATGGCCCAGGAGGTCTCTCCCAACTCTTTGATTCTATGATTCTATGAATCATTACTGTCTTTGCCTGGTTTCAAGATGGCTATGACTCTTGCTTTCTTTGTATAACAAATGTATTGAACTATGATAAAAATAATAAAATTATTTTTTTCAGAAAAAAGAAATTCCTTAATGCAAACTTCTTTTGGAAAGGGAAGGTGGCAAGGTTCTTGTTGCAGCAAGAAAATAGCTGTTGATTTTGTTCTCTCTTTCTGTGTGTGTCTCTGAATTGGGTGGAGGGTGGGAGAAGCCTTTTTCCCCTTCCCCAAGAGGACGTCTTTCCTAACCGTTCTGCATTCTGTTTCCTTTCCTTTCCCTTCAAGCTGATCAGTGGCGGTTCTATTGTAAGCGCCGAGGCAGTATGGGATCACGTCACCATGGCCAACCGGGAGTTGGCGTTTAAAGCAGGAGACGTCATCAAGGTCCTGGATGCCTCCAACAAGGACTGGTGGTGGGGACAGATCGATGACGAGGAGGGGTGGTTCCCCGCCAGCTTCGTAAGAGTGAGTATCCCTCTCCTTGCCTCACTCCTTTGCTTTTTCCAAGGCATGGTTTATGCATAACAACAACAACACCTTATCTATATCCCTTCTTCCCGCAGTTTTATACCATTATTATTATTATTATTATTATTATTATTATTTTATTTATTTATTTATTTATTTATTTATTTATTTATTTACAGCAGTGTTTCTCAAACCCCTGGAGGGGTCGCCAGGAGGTGCCAGAGGGGTCACCAAAGACCATCAGAAAACACAGCATTTTCTGTTGTCATGGGGGTTCTGTGTGGGAGGTTTGGCCCAATTCTATCATTGGTGGGGTTCAGAATGATTTTTGATTGTAGGTGAACTATAAATCCCAGCAACTACAACTCCCAATGTTAAGGTCTATTTTCTCCCAAACTCCACCAGTGTTCACATTTAGCATACTGAGTATTCGTGCCAAGTTTGGTGGAGATCCATCATTGTTTGAGTCCACAGTGCTCTCTGTAGGTGATCTACAACTCCAAAACTCAAGGTCAATGCCCACCAAACCCTTCCAGTGTTTTCTGTTGGTCGTGGGCATTCTGTGTGCCAAGTTTGGTTCAATTCCATCATTGGTGGAGTTCAGAATACTCTTTGATTGTAGGTGAACCATCAATCCCAACAACTACAACTCCCAAATTATGTTTCATAACAGGAGCATAATTACAGTTATGAAGTAGCAAAAGAATGTTATGGTTGGGGGTCACCACAACATGAGGAACTGTATTAAGGGGTCGCAGCTTTAGGAAGGTTGAGAAACACTGATTTACAGTATTTATATTCCGCCCTTCTCACCCTACAGTGTACAAATACATGGCAAACATCCATAGACACACAACATATATAGACAGACACACAGAGGCTATTTAACATTCCAGCTTTTTCATGAGGGTATTCTGGCCACCAGGGGAGCTGTCGCTTCACTGTCCATTTGTGACACTGATGAAGTCCTTCCTCATTCTTTCCATGCTTGCTGGAGATTTTTATGGCATTGTAAATTAGCCTCCCCACAGACGCGGTACCTATAAGGCTCCGGTCCAGCGTACCTGTCCGAACGTATCTCCTTCTACATCCCACCTCGAAGTTTAAGATCTTCTGGGGAGGCCCTGCTTTCGGCTCCACCTCTGTCTCAAACACGGTTGGTGGGGATGAGGGACAGGGCCTTCTCGGTGGTGCCCCCCCCCCCCCCCCCCCGCTTGTGGAATTCACTTCCTGGGGAAATTAGGTCATCATCATCCCTCCTCACCTTTAGAAAGAAGGTTAAAAAAATGGATGTGGGACCAAGCCTTCGGGCAATTTGGCTAAAACACAATTGATAATGTTTGACTATGGCTTGAAGGTGGATTTGGATAAGTTAAGCCGAGTACTCAATAGTATATGGCTAGATAAATAGCCACCAGACTGGTAATAGCTCAATGGACTGTAAATATACTGTTTTAATTTTTATGTCATAATGTTTATGTTCTTAACTGTTACAATTGCTGTTTTGTATTTTATGATGCGGCATCGAATTGTTGCCAATTGGGAGCCACTCTGAGTCCCCCTAGGGGTTGAGAAGGGCGAGGTAAAAATGCTCAAATAAATAAATAAAAAAAATTTCCTACTTGACATATGCGACTGTCTTTCGGGCTGCAAAGGTCGACAGCAAGCTACACAAACTAGTTGGAAGCTCACTCCGACCCGGGCTGGCTTCAAACTCATGACCTTTGGGGGTCAGTAGTGATCTTAATGCAGTTGACACCCAGCAAGCTGTGCCACAGTCTTGGTGCAATTATATTTAATAGTTTATATAAAATATATATCTATATCTATATATATATTTACCATTATTATTATATTTATTGACATATGTAATATTGTTTATTATATAACTAGCTTGGGAACCCGGCGATGCCCGGGTTATTTGAGAAAGGAATTGTGTATCAAGGTTGGCCTTTATCAGTTATTTATATGGCTCGCAGTGGTCTCAGGAAGTTAGTGAAGGGACTGCGAGTCCCATCATCTGTGATCCATCCTCCTCCAAGCTGCACCAGGATGGAGAGTGGGTCATGGGGCTCTGTGTGCCAAGTTTGGTCTTGATTGGTCATTGGATCACAGTGGTCTCGGAAAGTGAGTTAAGGTACTCCAAGTCCCATCATCCATAGTCTGTTCTTCCCCAAACCTCGCCAGAATGTTGGGTTGGCCATGGGAGCTCTGCAGTAGGATGTAGAGTGGGTCTTGAGGGCTCTGTGTGCCAAGTTTGGTCTGTATTAGTAATTTTCTGACACAGCCTCAGGCCTTTTCCTCTCCTCTGTCACCTCAGAATCTTGGAGTTTTCTGGCTGGCCAATCAGAGACCATATGCAAATAGTACCACAGTAGCAGCCAATCAGAACCTAGGGCCCCCGTATTTATTTACATATTTATATGCCACCCTTCTCACCCCTGCTGGTCATTGGAGTTCTGTGTGGGAATTCTGTTGTTGGTAGGATTCAGAATGCTCTTTGATTGTTGGGGAACTATAAATCCCAGCAACTACAACTCCCAAGTGCCAAGGTCTATTTTCCTCAAACTCCACCAGTGTTCATATTTGGGCATATTGAGTATCCGTGCCAAATTTGGCTCAGATCCATCATTGTTTGAGTCCACAGTGCTTGTCTGGATGTAGGTAAACTACAACTCCAAAACCCAAGCTCAATGCCCACCAAACCCTTCCAAGTATTTTCTGTAGGTCCTGGGAGTTCTGTATGCCAAGTTTGGTTTAATTCCATCGTTGTTGGAGTTCAGAATGCTCTTTGATTGTAGGTGAATTATAAATCCCAGAAACTAAAACTCCCAAATGTCAAGGTCTATTTTTGTCAAACTCCACCAGTGTTCACACTTGGGCATATTGAATATTCACGCCAAGTTTGGTCCAGATCTATCATTGTTTGAGTCCACAGTGTTCACTGGAGGTTGGTGAACTACAACTCCAAAACCCAAGCCCAATACCCACGAAACCCTTCCAATATTTTCTGTTGGTTGTGGGAGTTCTGTGTGCCACGTTTGGTTCAATTCCATTGTTGGTGGAGTTTGGAATGCTCTTTGATTGTAGGTGAACTACAACTCCCAAATGATAAAATTACCTCCCCCTCCCCAACTCGACCAGTATTCAGATTTGGGCGTATCAGGCATTTGTGCCAAATTTGGTCCAGTGAATGAAAATGCATCCTGCAGATCAGATAGTTACATGATGATTCATAACAATAGCAAAGTTACAGTTATAAAGTAGCAATGAAAATAATGTTATGGTTGGGGGTCACCACTCATGAGGAACTGTATTAAGGGATCATGGCATTGGGAAGGTTGAGAAACACTGCTGTAGTACTTCCAAGCTCTTTCTCAGATACCTCACTGTCTCATAAAGAGCTTTATAATGGGGTGTTTGCTTCTACGCATTTTCTCTGTGTTCCTCCCAGGGACCTCTGTGATTTTTGTCATTGCGACTTTTCCGCACCTTCCCTCCTGACAATACCAGACGTGCCGTTGTCAGAAATGCTCCTCACTCCTTCATTGTTCGCACAAAAACACCGAGCTGGGAGGCTGGGTGAGGAAAGTGCCATGCCGTCAAGCGGGTTCCATGGAGAGCAAATTAAATGCTCAAAGGAAAAAGCCTGGAGGTGGTGGAATTTCTCATAGGTATTGGGTTGGATCTCTAGTTGTTGTTGTGGTGGCCGGAAGTAGTGTGTGTGGTGGGAGTGTCAGGCCAGGACTCTGAAAAGCAGGTTCAAATTCCTGCTTGGGCATGGAAATCCACCTTGGGTAATTCACACCATCTCTCTCTTCTCCCAGCTAAATATCCCCCAGGAGGTAAAGGAGAAAGGAAAAAGAGAAGGAAGGGAGGATGAAAGGGAATGGAGGGAGGTAAGGGGGAGGAAAGAGAGAAGGAAGGAGAGACAAAGAGGAGGGAAGGAAGGAAGGAAGGAAGGAAGGAAGGAAGGAAGGAAGGAAGGAAGGAAGGAAGGAAGGAAGGAAGGAAGGGGAGAGAAAGAGAGGGAATGAGAAAGGAGGGAAGCTAGGAACAACAAAAGAGAAGGAAGGAAGGAGAATGAGAGAGGGAAGGAGGGTGGGAAGACTAAAGGAAGAAAAGAGAAAAAAGGAAGGAGGGAAGGAAAAAGAGAGGGAATGAGAAAAGAGGGAAGACAGGAATAACAAAAGGAAAGGTATGGAAGAAGGAAGGAGAAAGAGAGAGGGAAGGAGGGAGGAAAGAAGAAAGGAAGGAAGGAAGGACAAAAGGGTGGAAGGGAAGGAAGGAGGGAGAAAGAAGGACATGAGGAAAAAAGGAAGGGAAGGAGGAAGGAAAGAGAGAAGGAAGAATAGGGTGGTGAGAGAGAGGAGGGCTTGAGAAAAGGGCCCAAGGGGCACATCCGACCAAATAGGGGAAGAGGAGCCATGATCGGCTGCCACGTGGTCCTGTTACGGTTGGGAATCCGTGACAGCCATGCCCTTGCCATTACGGATACCTGATCAAACTGAAGAAACCATATTGTCTGAAGGGGATGGCTAAAAACAGGTCTGGGCTCAAGCCTGTTGGCCAGTGCATCAACGAGCACATGAATCCATCATGAATGTACCACGAGAAGCAGTTGTCCCACCTCTGTTTCAAGATCTCCAAACAAGGATGTCCCATCATCCCCAGAAACAATTTATTTTTCCTAACATGTAGGTGAAATCTTTCCTTGTAAGTTGACTCCATCCCTAGTGAGTGTGTGTTTGTGTTTAAATGGTGGAACAAGACCTCTGATGATCCACGACGCTTTGCACAACGTAGCACCCGTGGTCTTGAGCAGGACCTGGAAAAGAGCGCTGAAGCAGTATCTTCTTGAAGCGAAGATGACATTGAATACGGGACCAGAACAAGAGAGTGTCATCCCCGATTTGTCTGTTCTGCTGCCATGTTGTCTAAAGCCAGCCGTCAAGCAGGGCTGAGCAAGCAGGTCGCTCAAGCGGAGGAGATGCGCT